TCCAGGAGAGGAGCACGCCTGGGCAGCCACAGAGATGCTGCAGCTTCTCCTACAGAGCACTCCTGCAGCAGCACAGCCCCGCACGCAAGGGGACCGCAGGGATTTTTAAACCAATTCCTCACGCCTCCATGTATCCTAGCAACCCCTCTCCGAGGTTACAGATGTGATGCCTCCCCCACCTGTTGCACAGCCACCCTGAGGCAAGTTACACGTGGCTTTCTTCCCAGCTCAGCCCGATTAAGGAATGCGGGAATGTGACACACAGGCACCCTGGACACCAGGACTGGCTCCTGCATGTCCTCTGAGGAAGGGGCTTTGTGATCAAGGCAAGAAAAAGGGGGTGGCTTTCATGCCTGCCACAAAAATGTACCATCCTTGCCTGATGTGCCATCACTCAGGTCCTGTGTGGACATTCAAGCAGGATTTCCAAAAGAATTTTAGGTCCAAAATAGGCACAGCGAACAAAACCTGACTCCTCCCATGCCCTTCCCTCCAACCTGACTGAGCTGCATTATAACTACAGTAAATGAGTTTGTTAAAGGAAAAAAAGACAAAAAAACTGCTAGAAAAGCAACCTTTTCAAGGAGTGATGCTACTCCAAAGTACCATTTAGCAGTTTCAGTTTCCTGTGGGGGGGAATACTATAACCACCAAACATGAAAATTTTGCTCTGCAGAAAAATAAAAACCAAATTTAATCAAAAATTAAAAGGTAGAAAATCAATTACAAACATCTGTTGAAGGGGAAATTTGCAGTTTTGCAAAATTTACTTTCTACACCTGTGAAAATGGTCCTTTTTTAATGATTCCCCTGCTCATAAAATTAGATTTCTTTTATTTGGCTATCACTGATCAAATGGTTTAACCTGCAGTATCTATTTCTCACGTGAGTCTCAGTTATCTTAACTTATCATTCAATTTATCTGCATTCCTGAAAGACAATGAAAACCCATAAATCTTTTGCTGTGGGTTTGTTTTTTGTGTTATTGCACTTATCACTGCAAAATCCACCTCATTCTAATATATCCAAAGAATTCAAGGGATGCACAGACCCTTCTGTCTCCAAGGCCAATAGGGAAGATGAGGTTGTCACTGCTCAAAGACAACATAACTTGCTGTAGAGCTCTCTTATTCATCTTCACAGAGGAAAATATGGGATACTTCTCTCCTAGGTTGTAAGATATTATTTTGGGCTGTGTATTCTATTCTCATCTGTCAGAGGTGGGGCAGTTCTCTTCTGTTCATTGGGCAGTTTTCTTTATCTCTTCCACAACCCATCCTCCCTCCAGGAGATCTCTTCTGTTCATGGCCACTGAGTGTCCCTGCATGGCTGATAAAATTCCATCATCCCATTGGGAGATGCTCTGCCCAGGGGAGGAGCCAAGCATTCCTACCTGGATACAATCTGAGGTTTGGAACACCACAGCAGCCTTTGCCCACTGCATTCCCAGAGAGCAGCTTTCTCTCCCCTGCATTCCCAGAGGGAGCCCAGGCCCATCTCCAGCAGCCCTGGAGCTTCAGAGGAAAACTCCCCCCTTGTGCAGGATCCCTGCTCCAGCAGAAGAACAGCTGGCACTGCAGGAGGCTGAGCCACCATGGGATGGGACTGTGCCACCACCCTGACACACAGGGGGCCAGCTCCTGCTCTGACTCTGGCAGCGTTGTTTTGTGTTACTGCAATTTTATTTTTCCTTATGAAGAACTGTTATTCCTACTCCCATATCTTTGCCTGAGAGCCCCTTAATTTCAAATTTATGGTCATTGGGAGGGGGTTTACATTTTACATTTCAGGGGAGGCTCCCGCATTCCTTACAGACATTTGTCTTTTCAAACGAAGACACTTCCTAAATGGTTCTGGCACCTGTGAGTTTTCCCTCTTTCCCTTCTCAAGCAGTAATGGGATGCAGCCAGCAGGTTCCCTCTCCTTTTGGACTGCTCCCAACATGAGCACCAATGGTGCCCTTTCCCTGGGTAAGCTGAGGCTGAGTGCTTGCTGACCTGCAGTGGCTCCTGGGCAAGGGCTGGGATAAGCTGGCACACCTTCTCCCTCAGCACCACCTACTCTGCTCATCTCAGGCTGAAGATCACAGCCAGGATGTCAAACCCTCCTTTTCACTGTGAGGCTATTTGGCAGCTGAATCTGTACACTGAGATGAGTCCAGCTGAGATGGCAGCAGCCACTTCATTAGTTCAGTGTCAGTTCAGTTTTGACACATTTGTGGAACCATTGACTAAGTTTTTGTAAAAAGTGAGAACAGGATTTTTATAGCTAAGATTTTTTGCAAGTGTCACACGCATTTTAGGACATAGTCATGGGCTGAGCTATACAAACAAAACTCCCTTGTGGTTTGACAGACATTATGAGTGAGAATTGGATCATGTTTTCTGTGTGAGATAAAACTAACTGCCTTCACAGCTGTCATTTTTTTTATAGTGCAAGGGAGGAAATTCAAGCATTTAAAGTTACATTTAAATATGAAAACTTGATAGACATATCTGGCAATAAAAACACAGCTGTTAACAACACATAGAAAATACTGCAGTGGTACAGCACAGGAGGCTGAAACTCTGTGTCTGAAGAGAAGCTGCAGGTGAGAGCAGCTTCCTCATTTATTTAACACAGGGAGTAGGGCTTGTGTTTGTACACTGTAGAGCACTAGGCAGAAATACCCTCAGGAGCCTATCATCCAGCACTGCACGAATAAAAACAGAATTTCCCAGACTCTGGTGAACAAGGCATAAGCCCTGGAATGACAATGCTTCACATGCAAGACAAGAGCCATGTAATATTTGACTCAAGTGGAAGAGATGCACGACTCAAAGGCAGTCTCTTCAAATCTGCAGTGGACTTGAAGAATGTGAGCCCATGGGGGCTGCTTCCTCTTCAGTTTAGCAGCTCACCCGTGGTTTCTGGGGTAAAACTAAAGAATACCTTCAGATACTGCTGATCCATCACTGCCTTGCAACACCACCAACTCCCACATCCACCAGGTATATTTATGCAGATACCAGTGCTGAGGATGTGTCAGGAAAATTATTGAAGGATTAATGCTCTGGAAGAGCATGAGCAACAAGAGGGGGGTTATGGGTTAAAATAGCCCAGTGCATCTTCACCAGTGCACAAACTGGTCAGGGAACAGCTGCTGGAGAGACCCATGAGGCCTGCCATGGCAGCTAGAAAACATTAAGAGTATTTTCAAGCACACACTGGCTCACTTTCAGCACCCAGAAGCTATTTTAAGTGCTCCATGGAGACAAGCTGGTGTTATTAGGGCACTTTTCTTGCAGAAGACAACAATTCATTTCGAGTCAAATAATCCCATCAGAGGTTTTGTAAACACCTAAATCAGAAGAAGTGGCTGTGATCATCACATGTTGGGAGAGATTCACAGGCCAGTTTTCTTAAGACCCCTCAAAAGAAAATGAAACCACTTGCTGGGCAGTTTTGGTGCTATGTCTGTCACATCACAGCAGCTCCCAGAGGGCATCTCTGGAGCCTGAGGAACTGCCAAATAGCACAGGGAAGCTGGTTCGAGACCAGAATTGGAGCAGAAGCCTACAAGATAAGTTTTTTACCCTAGTGAGCAGCAAAGGCATGGCTAAACAAGCCCTAGGAGTAAAACTCTCACCTGGCAGAACAACCTTAGACCCAAGAGGAAAGAATTCCATAATTTTCTGGCCTTGACCTCACCTCACCTCTCTCAGTTTCACCCAGCCTAATGTCTTTACAAGGCATTTCGAGACTCAAAGACCAGAAAACATATACAAGAAAGAGATAATGCTGTTATCACCCAGTGCTGTGGTTCTGTATGATGTGAAGGCGTAGACAGTCACAATGAACTCAGAAGGTGGGAAGAAATATGGGAACAGAGGAGGAAGAAATTGCATTATGACAGTGACAGAGTGAAGAGTAGTAGATGGCAGGGATTTAGAGACATTTGGGAAGCACTCTGATATTGGCATGATGGTCTCAGTAAAGAAAATTGTCAAAAATATGACCAGAGGAAAGAGCCTAATCAGAGTCATCCAAAATTGGTTTATTTTTTAAAATATTTCAGGCCTTCTTTTCCCTCCTGTTTTTAAAAGCCTGGTGAAGCTGAACAGGGAACTGTAAGCACTCAAGCTACTCTGAATACTGACAGACAAAAGAAGCAGAGAGGGAAGGGTGCCTAAATATAGCACAGAAGGCTCCCACTTCTCCATACTGAGGTTCAGTCTCCACAGCCAGCTCAGGTCAGTGATTTTCAGTCAGCTTTCGGCCACTCGCAGATACAAGGCCACATCAAAATTAACAAAGTTTAGGGTAGAAATAATCACAGTTGATGAGGAGCCATGTATAAATAAAATACTTCCAACTGAATTCCCTAAGAAGAGCCACTGCCTGCTCTTTGTTAAGTTACAGTCCATTGATATTTAGCAAGTTTTAATCTCCCAAACCACTGACTCTGGATCCTCAGACAGAGGAAATGAATGGTTGATCTACCCTCAGCATGATCCAGTCCTGAATTTACAGGTAAACATGAAGCTGTGGACTTTGCTTACATTTTTGTCTCAAAAAAAAAAAAAAAAGAAGAAAAAAAAGTACTTTTCTCATTATATAAAATTCACTCTTTTTGCTTAGAAAACAGAGTTATACAATTAAATAAACTAAAGATAACGAGGTACAGGGGATGCTAAAGCTGAGGTAACCTGGCAGAAAATAGCCAGCACCTGAAGGAACACATGCAATAATCACGGATCCCAACATACTCATGATGTCAACACACAGAACTGAAAACTATCGTTCAATTACTGGTTTTTGTTTCAAATAAGCTCTTGCTCATGGATCATTATGGAGAGAAGCCCTTTTGTGAACCAAAAAAAGAATGAACACACAACTGCCAGGCTCCTATGGTACCTCAGTGTCCTGCAGAATGTAAGTGACTGATGGCAGTAAGCAAATACTCAACAAGCTCATTTTTTTCCTTGCAAAAAATCCACCAATTTCCAAGTTTCACTTACCTGTCAGGTTCCTCAAGCCAAGTTCCCTGAGTCCAAAGTTGCCATCTTTCCTGTAGTTAAGGAATATGGCCAGGGCGTATCTCTCCTCGTAGAGCTTGGTCCCACGGACGATGCGCAGGTTCTCCAGGGGCAGGTACTCAAACTGGTTCAGAGCCACCAACACATAGCCCGTGACCTCTCTGATAGACTGAAAGGCACAAATGGAACAAACATCAGACATGGCCCATCTTCAATTGCCCTCAATTTCCCACTCAGTGAATGCCTTAGGACAAGGTGCTGCTACCCAAGACAAAAGAAACCAAATCGTCTGAAAAACAAATTCTGTTTCAACTTAATGATTTCAAGCACATTCCTGTTTTAATTTCAGTGAGTTTACTTGGAAGCAGTTGTTTAAAAGGCAGAAAATAAAGAGGTAGCCATTTTCATCAGTTTATTAGAACAAACAGAAATTCACTGTAAGATATTAAGGTGTTGCCCTGATTTTTTAAGATTTTCTAAGCCTTCTGATGTTTTCATTCTTGTAATGAACTTTCTCACGCACTTTCTGTAAATAACTTAGTTTTTTACATTCTTTTTTGGAGGAGGAGAAATTTGATGGACTATTGGTTTGTCCAGTGTCATTGGAGAGGTGGCACTTTCACCCTCCAATCCATTGTCACTTTTGGAAATCTATAAACGTTGGAGTCAGAAAACAAACTTCCCTTTTTTCACCATGAGAGCAGCAGTGTGTGCGCTTCGTGTTGTTTTGTGTCCTATTAAGGATTAAGTCCGATTATTAATAATGTCTGATTAAGGACATTAAGGATTCACAAAAGGATGACTTTGCATAGCTCAAAGCAGAGAGCATGTCTAAGGCTCTTGCAGTACATGAACAGAATCCACTGGGGCAATGCCACAGTTCAGATGAAATTGTCTGCCTGCAAGTAACTCTGTGTTGTACAGCGTATTTCAGGGTGGGGTTGAAGGGACATAACATGGAAAACACCTCTGGAATAGCTCACCATCAAAAAGGAACAGATGGGAGACGGGGGAACGGTTTGGAAGAGAAAACAAAGATAACACACATCTGTACTAACACCCATTTTGTGTACTTTCAAATGGAACTGATCACTGAACATTTGCAAAGATTCATCTCAAAGTTTCATCTGGCAGTGCTGGAACCATCCACAACCATATATTCCAGTTTTGGATCAAAACTACAACCCAAACCTTTAGCAAAATGATTGCTGCACCTTTGAGTTGGCTGAAATCTTTTCTGGCTTTACATGAACTGCTCAATAACCCTCCTGCTCATATTTGGGAATTGATTGCCTGGGCTGGAAAGGGAAAAAACACCCCAAACCCAATAACTAGAAAAACTTTTTCAAAGTCCAAAAGACTAACAGAACTAAGATGTTAGAAAATAAAATACAGAACACCCAAACCCAGAGAAATACACTCCCTTAGAAAATAAAGTTCATTCTAAGGAATTGAGAGAAATGGCCTAGAAATACTCAAATGCCTTTGAAAAATGTCATTTCAACATTCACAACGACCCCACCATCAACAGCAAGACTTGGCACAGGCTGAAGGATGCTCCTAGCCAGACCCTGGGAACAGAATCTCCGTATTGGACAGAGTCTCTTGAGTCTGCTTTTCAGAGCTCACCTCACCCCATGCCTGCAACCACTGCACAGAGTGGTGTGTTTGTGTGCATGTGCATATTTTAATGGATGGGAATTGATACCACTACTTGTGTGCTTAAGTGGCTGCACTCACTTCTCCCTTCCCTTTGGCAAAGTCAATACCTTCAACAAAACACTGAAAGAAAAAGCCTGCTCAGAGTAACGTGCCCAGACTATAACCAACGTGAGGGGGACTCCAGTCGATACTGTAATGAAAACAACCTGACAAGCAACAGCAGGCACAGAATGCAACCTGTCCTGTATGTATCATTAATAAAGAAAGGCAGCAATGGATTTGCAGCACCAAGGACAGGATCCTGCTTTGCTGCTTCAGCGCTTTGCCGTGATTTCACATTTAAGGGTGCACAAGCCTTTTAATTAGGCTTATAAAAGCCTGCAAGGTTATTAATACGTGTGGCAGTGTACATAAGGAATGATTTCTAGGCCACAAAATCCAGGCACTAGCTGTCCTTCTGAAGTCAAGCATCTGTACTCAGCTGAAGCTGCTGAAAAAGCCATTTCCAGACGGGCTTGGCATCCAAACAAAGACCACTGTCCTGACAGGACTCTGATGAGAACCCAGCCAGTGGAGGCAGGTTGAGAAGTAGGGTTCAGCAGCTAGGTATTAAATGTAGAGCTGCATTATACCCTGGGACACTGATTCCATTATAATCAGAAGCTTTACAGCACTTTCATGATAGCTCTTTGCCTTCAGACATTTGAGCTTAGCCAGTTTGGTCAGGAATTTGCTTTTCATCATATGCAAAAATGTCTTTAAGCTGCCTTTTTTAGCATCTCCTCAGAATTCAGGAAATACTTAAATTACACTCACGGCTTCAGCTTCTCCACTGATATTCTAGGGACACTGTGATTGCTCTAATTAATTTAAATGGATGTTTAACTTGGAATTGAGTGGAAAAAATTAAAAGCAGTTCCAAAATTGCATCTGAACAGGTCCTCCCTGCCAATTGTTGTCACTTACAACCACATTTTCTATTTTTAAGGTATGTCTTACTGCCAAACAGAAATTCCACCTGAAAGGGCTGCAATTCAGAACAGGACTGAAATGCCACACACACACAGAGCAGTAAATCTTCATTCCAAACTTGGGGGGAAAGAAAAAGCCAAAAGAAGTCCAAAATAAAACAATAGCCCACCAATGAAAATGACAAAATCCTGTTGCTGATAATTGTGACCTGCTTCAGAAGCCATGCATTGGGTTTGGCTTGACCAGCTGAAATGACAAAGTATGGCAAGTATTTTGACAAACCAGAAGGTTCTTTGCAGTTCCATGGCTTCCACCATATTGCAACACACATTTAATTGCTGGAGACACTGCCATGTTCATGCTTAAAATATAAAATTATGAAAATAAATCCAAAGAGTTTTTAATTTCCTAGGAAACAACCACCTGACCAACTAAATCTAGTAGTCTGATATATTAAGATGGGGTTTCATTTTGGGTTTAAATTCAAATAGGAATGAAAAACGCAGAACAGTAACCAGGTTTGCAGGGTGGTTTCTGACTGGTTCATCTTGAAAAAAAATGTACTGGGAAGGCAGAAGGCATTTCAATTTTTGGCCACTCCAGGCCAACACTGTCACTTGGCCAGGCACTGCACGTTTTAACATGACTCAGACTGAAAATGGACACCTGCCCACTTGGAACTCACTGCAAAGATGCCTGTTGGCTTCTGACTCGCCAATCCTCATGCCAGATCTCCTCCCCTGCACCTCATGCCAAGGTCAGGCATGATTTGAACTTCTCATCCCTTGAATTCAAGGCTGGACATTTTCCTGAGCACGTATTCTGGACTCAGCTATCCTAATGCTCTGTTTGAGCTGCTTCATTCCAGCTTCCATCTGTGTTCCCAAGAAGGTGGAATAGCTCATAATACTGAGTGCCATCTCCCAGTCTGATTCTCCTGCTGGGGCTTGCAAGCACTTGCAAAAAAGATATTTCCCATGAGTTTGTCCCTCAGGAAAAACAAAAAGGGAACTGAGACTATCAAGCATCAGCCCCTGGGTAAGGACAAGCTTCCAGCAGAAATAAAAGGAGTGTCAGGGGAGGAAAAAGTACTGATCCTTGACTATCACAGTTGAAAGGGCCACCATACACAGAGCATCAAAATAAAATTTCAGAAAGCTTCAACCCATACACAGCAACACCTCACCTCTTCAGAAGGCTGCAAGCATCTGCCCTTCTTGTCCTTCAGCCCAGCCTTTTATCCCCTCCTGTTGATGCCCTGCACCTGTGTGCCCTCTGTTCCCTTTGGTGGTTGGTCAGTGCCCTGGGCACTCCATGGCTCGTTCCCTTCAACAGCATTCACCTGTCCTGCACAGCTGTGCCCACTGGGGATGAGGCTGGGCCAGCCCCACTCCCAATCACCACAAACTCTGTGCCCACACTTCACATATCTAATGCCTCATGAGCTGCTTAAAACACACACCTAAACCACAGAGTTCTAATATATTTACCAGGAAAAAGCCCTTTATCTCCATTTTCACACAGGAGATGAGCACCTGTACTCCACAGTTTGCTGTCCCTGTGTCCAGCAGTGTCCTGCACCCCAGGAACAGCCATGTCAGTCTATAAACCAGTCTCCTAACAGTCTCTACATAAAACATAGCCATTTTTGGTTTTTAAACCTAAAAATAGGTACCCTGAGATAAGAACAGAGCCAGTGAAAGTTCTGCCCTCCCCAGGAGTCCACCTCAAGATGGGCAGCCCTGCAGAGGGTGACGAAGAAACTCAAAATGACACCAAAAGCATAAGGGTTCTTTTTGGAGATTCTTTTTCAGGTGATGAACTGTAAAACTGAGCTCTAGACAGCCCATTCCCTTAATTACAGCTAATACTAGCTGAGCACAGATGAAGCACTTGAAGCTCCCAACAGCAAAACCAGAATTATCCTGTCAGCTGGGAGTAAATGAGAGTAAAATTGTGCCCTGCCATCTTAAATCGTCCTTTGGTTCAAATCAAGTGAATCTGAGTGAAGCAGAGCAAAATAACAGCGAAAGCTTCATCATTCCGCCCAGAACAACAGATCAATGAACGATTAGGGAAGCTGATGTTTCTTATAAACACTACCAAGGCTTCTTAACATCCATCAGGAAGGCTGGGCTCTGGCAGAGGCACTGAGGAGAACTCTATTGTGGGGTTTATTTCAGCTGCAGACACATTTATCCAGTGCTGAACTTGATCTGGTAATGTCCCTGTTGCCTCAGCTGATGAGAGCAACAAAATCCTGCCACAGGGGTCAGCTCACACCTGTGAGACCACTGACAATTCATTCTCTTTTAGGGGGTTTTTCCCCTTTTCCATAAAAGCTAAGAACATTTTGATCTACTTCAATCTCACTTAAAAGCATCAGTAAAATCTAGTGCAAGAGGGAAGGATCACCTGAAGAACAAGTGTGTTTAATTCACAAACGTTAAAAGTAAAGAACTTTTCACATCTAAAGTGGACTTGAACAGAGTATCTCCCATTTCACTTTTTTATGGATTTGTATCTGGTGAGAAC